AGACCATTTGGATTTTTAGCTTATAGAAGTACAAGATCATTAAGATATATATGAAAAATTCTTGCATATATACTGTGTGGACCGTTATACAGTTATGGACCTAGACACCTCGCGGTTAACATAAATCTTGGGTATGAAAGGGTGTTACGAAATTTTGTGTTTTTACACACATGTAAATATACACGTGTAAATAAAATCCTCTCTTTTGTGTTTTTATGTTGAAATTTTGGGTATGAAAGGGTGTTATGAAGACTAGAAAAGTTAGTTTCAATTGGGAAGTGTTGAGTTTTTTTTTTTTTTTTTTTTTTTTTTTTTTTTTTTTTTTTTCCAAATTTATTGATTAGGATTCAATACTTGATTAAATCATGACTTCTTTTTATTTATGAATCTTTTAATTTTTATGTGAATCATTTATTTTTTTTATTGGATTGAAAATGTAAACTTAAACCGATGTACAAAAATCTACTCATAATATCATTTAAAATTTTTTAAAAAATAATTATTCATATAAAAAAATCAAATAAATGAAGATTAATGTTGATTAAATTATAAAAATTATTTCTTTTGTTTTCCTCCTTTTGGCCTTATCATGTCTCTATTTTGGTTTCCATTTTCTTTTCTTTTTTTTTTATTAAAAAAAAAAAAAGAAAACTACAATCATCGTTTTCATGATTGTAGGCGGTGTTGAACCAAAAATTGTCCTGATTGAAAAACGACATCAAGCTAAAAAGCTCTTTTAAAAAAAATAATATAAATTATAATATATATATTTATAATAATATAAATGTTTTAATATATAAATAATATAAATGTTTTAATTAAGGTTGTTTACTTTATTACCTCATGTAATGGCTAATGATTTGATAGCCACAAAATTAAAAAGTGAAGATTTGACTGTCTTTTCTTTTCTAAAAGGCCGCAATTTTTTGGTTCATCCATTTATGTTACATAAACCAAAATCTTAAAGGTAAAAGAAAAACCTGAGATGGAGCCAAAAAGAAATGGCTACTCTTCATATTAAAACTTTCCATTTCATCATTTTTCTTATCTTAACTTGTTTTGTTTTATATGTTAATGTCCTGCCTAGGGTTGAAAAATAAATTTATTTTTAACTCAACAGAAATTATGATCAGTACAGTTCGATTTAACTCAATTTATTTATAACTCAATTCCTACGCTACAAAATAAATACTCGAAACTAAATATATTAAGTGAATCACATGCCACAAATATTCTTAAATCTCTTTTATCATTATTGTCCCCATTTCATAACTAGAGATAGCTAAAAGATATATGTGATTAGGCAACAATTGCAAAAATTTTCTACTATTGCAATACATAATTCAATAAAAAGTAAAATGGCCCATTCCTATCTTATTACAAGGACATACCTACTTTTCAATCAACACCACTATATATTCAAAAATACTCAAACAACGTTTCTTTCCCCTAAGCTTGATTTGCATATGTTTAATGTCTATCTTAATCCTTAAGTAAAATATCTTGCCTTTACAAAAAGATTAGATAAATTAGTTTGATGCATGATGCTAAGCAAGACATCTCTAACTCTAACTCTTTGCAATATACTATGATGTTTTAAATTAATGACCTACAAATTTTGACCAATTAAGATTAATTACACCAATAGAATGAGAACTTAGTGGTTTTAATTAGTGAAATAATTTGAGACCATAAGTTAATTGTTTTGTCCCCAAAAAGCAATAGAGTGAATGATTTGTTGTGAAAGGTGTAGGGATCATAGAGGTCCATAATTTATGATGTAACATTAAATTGTTTGTTATGTGCATCCAACATGTGGCACCTACTTAATTATTTCAATCTTTTTTACATTCTGTTCATCCCCTCCTCACTCAATACCTTTAATTCTTAAAGTAGATTGGACCATTCCTTTGGTTTAAAGGAAAAAAAAAACAAAAAAAAAAAAAAAAAAAAAAAAAAAACATTGTTTTGTCTCATTAATCTTAGCCCAAGAGATTTTGATTACCAAAATTGGTGGTACCAAACACTATTCTCTCACTATTATTGTCTTTACTCTTTACTTATGGGCTAAGACTTTAATGGGCATTTTTTTTTTTTGAGGGATCAATGTTACAAATTTATAATTATTATTATAAATTCATACTTTTCAATTTTTCATTCTAAATAAGACTAAACAATATAAATTTTGAATTTTGAATTATCTATAATGTTAAAAATAAATTTTAAAAGCAAATGATGTATAGTCGAAATGATTAGAACTAAGGTTTTGGAAATCAAACTTCTATCTTCTCATCATTTAACTTGTGATTTCTTCTTTTTATTGTCCGGATTGCCTTTTAATGGATTTATAATATAATTTTTAATACTAATATTTAAAATTATTGCATAAATCTACTTAAATTCTCATAAAAAAATATTTTTGATAAATGTAGATGTAGTGGAATGGATGATGAGCTATGATAAATCATGGATTGGTCCCACATGCATATATACATAAACAATTATTTAGAAGTTAATATTTCATAGGAAAATTGAATATGTGGTCCAACAATTAATCATCTTTGACAGCAAAAGTCACTGCTTCTATGGTAAAGAGAGGTCCTATCTTCCTTTTAGGCCTCGCATTTCTTTCGTAAAAGTAAAGTTACACCGTAACGCAGTTGGTAATATAGATTGAATAAGTAGGAAAAGTTTTCGGATTCACTCTTAACTATAATAAAGTAAAAGGGAAGGAATATATTTTTTCCTGTGCTTCACTCCTATGTGTCAAAGAAAGACTTGCACATGAAAGCCAATCACATCAATCCATTAATTCCATAGAATAAGTGATAATAATGCAAAACATCATCTTCCTCAATGTCAACCCTAAATTTAAATAAAAAAGAATCTGTGATACCATTTGACTATCTCTAATCATTTATGAGATTTTCTGGCTCAATTGGTTCTTTCCTAACATTCCTACAAACCTAAGGAAAAAATTGGCTTGATTTCATGAAAGTGACAAGCTATTTCTGGCCATTGAGCCTCTAATAAGTTAAGAAAATTATGACATTGTAAATAATGAATTGACGTAGAATTTCAACTTCTCATTTTACAGAATTATATTAGAGCTTTTCTTGTGTTTGCAGAGAAAATATATTGAAGACGCCGCCACCACCACCATCAAGCTCTAGTAGTACAACTAGTTCTACACCAAATCCAAACATAAAAAAATAATTGAGAATTTATTAAAAATTATATCATCATGTTTTAAGTTGCCAAGTTGGATTGAGTTGAGGAAGGAAATAAGTTCTGAAATTTGGTGACTTTACAAGTCAAATTTTCTATACACCTTAGTTTAGTTATTTATAATAGCCCCGTCACTAATTAGGCATTAGTAGTCGCTAGTAGTTTAGTAGCTAATGGCTGATAGTCGAAAATTGTTGTATATATACATTGCCGTCTTAGCTCAGCTGGTAGAGCGCATGGCTTTTAACCATGTGGTCGTGGGTTCAATTCCCACAGATGGCGCCAATTATATAATATTCTGATTTAAAAGTACACATAGATAGATTTTGTCAAGCTAAGTTTCGATTAGTTTACGAGCAGTTGCAATTTACATTATTCGGATTATATGCACATTTTCCTAATCGTTAGTCTCTGATTAATGTTGAATAATTGTAGTGTACGTACATTGCCGTCTTAGCTCAGCTGGTAGAGCGCATGGCTTTTAACCATGTGGTCGTGGGTTCAATTCCCACAGATGGCGCCAATTATATAATATTCTGATTTAAAAGTACACATAGATAGATTTTGTCAAGCTAAGTTTCGATTAGTTTACGAGCAGTTGCAATTTACATTATTCGGATTATATGCACATTTTCCTAATCGTTAGTCTCTGATTAATGTTGAATAATTGTAGTGTACGTACATTGCCGTCTTAGCTCAGCCGGTAGAGCGCATGGCTTTTAATCATGTGGTCGTGGGTTCGATTCCCACAGACGGCGCAACTTACATTACTTTATTTTGATAAAATTATAGGTGATAATTTACATTATTTTCTATTTTTAATATGTTATGTAGAAAATTTTCATAATAATATTTAATATTAATTTATCATTTTTGGTAACTATAAATAATTGGATCTCAAGAAAATATTAGTTTGAAGAAAAATATTATTAGTAATAATTTTTTTAAGATTAAAATAGTTTAAATATATAATAAAATGGAATCAATTAACAGCTTACAAGAAAAATTTCAGAATAAAGTTTTTTTAAAAAAAAAAAAAAAAAAAAAGAGAGTAAAGAATACATTTACATGTCATTCTCTTTAAATGTTCAATTGTTTCCAAAGAATGTGTAACCCATATTTATTTTACAACCCACCAGTCAAAAGTCTATATTAGAGTAACCAGCTAACCATGCGCTGCCATATGCAGCGTGGTAGAGTTTTCCTATCCGGCCCAATAATTGTATAACTTGTAAATACCCAGTGAGGCCCGCAGCCCATCGTAATGGGCCCCAATCCAAATATCTTAGTCAATGTTCTTTCTTTCAAGGAATGTAATAAAATATTTTATAAATTTTAATTTAAAATTACTTCATAAATAGTTATTTAGGCATAACTTAAAAATTAAATCAAATTAAAATTCATTTACATAAACAAATGGAAATTTTTAACTTGAACTCTTTACTGAAAATAATACTTCTATTATTCAATGCTTAAAATTTAGCTCTTAATTTTTCAATATTTAAAATTTTAATTGTGTTTATCTCATAATATTATTTGTAACATATTTTCATGTTTTAGGTTTGTGTTATGTTATTTGTAATTAATTGTATCCTTTTCTTGTATTCTATTTTTATTTCCCTTGGGTGGTATGTATATACAAATAATATTGATCGATTTGTCCTTATTGATTATACTAGATTAAGTAGATTTGAGAGTATATAAAAAATGAATTCTATATTAAAATATATATAAAAAATAAAAAAAATTTAGAAATAAATAAATATTAGATATACCAAAAACTTTCATTCACAATTCCAATTTTGTAATTGTTTGGAACTCTTCAAAGAACTACAAAAGAACATATTCAAAAAGAAATAATAATAATAAACTACTATATGCGCAGATAATTAAATCGAACAAGAATAAAATTAAAGATGAAAGAGCAAATGCAAATGCTCATTCTCTTGCAAGAGCTTCGTCTCTCCATGCTAGCTGTCAAGTTTACGACCAAATTCCGAACTCCAAGGCTCCCAGACCGAATTAAATTTGGAAGAGAATATGAGCAAGAGAAGCAACAAGAGCAGTAAACCCAGTAATTGGCTCTCCAAAAATGGCAGAAAGAATAAGCTTCATAACTAGTATTGCCATTTTCCATCCATTTCTTGAGCTCTTTCTCTTCTGCTCCACTATTTCTGTACTACTACTGCTAGAAACTGTGCTTTGCAGTGCCAAATCATTTTCTTTACTTACTTCATCACTTTCTTTGTTATCACCATTAAAATAGCTATTTTGCCAATTCTCATAAACCATTTCCTTCAGACAAGCTACGTGAAAGCAATAGGTCTCAGTCTCACAGCTAAAGACATAACACAAGCCCTTGGGACCTTTTCTTGAATTGATCCTGAAATGGCATTTTCGGCATTTTAGTGAACTCTTTTTCTTGAGTTGTAATTTCACACCTTCGCGATCTAAGGTTTCTGGGAGCTTAGCGCAATGAGGGTGCATGTCATATTTTTCACAAGAACATTGATACACGTACCCTTTTATATCCAATCCACAAACATCACAATCTCTTCCTTCATCGGGTGTTATTTGAGATTTGTCGTAAAACTCAAAACGACAATCGTTGAAAAAATGGAGGTAAGTAGGAGATGTTGGAATTGCACATTCTCTATGGATTGAAAACCTGTTGCAAGTTTCACACTGGTAGCATATGCCAAAACCAAGCTCTTTGCACCCATCGCAGAAATAAGGTGCTGGAGGACGTTTTAGTTTAAGTGGATGTTGGTGGCCAGAATATTGTATTTCAAGAACAGATGACATGTCGCTTTAATTCCTGCAAGCAAATGAAAACGGAAATAAATAAACCTTGATGTTTTAAAATGGAAGAAAAGCTATATATATAGTAACGAGTAATATAAAGGCTTTGAGAAGGTTTTGAAATGTGAGAAATAGGGCTGAATTGGTAACAAGAATGAACTTATTTACAGACTTTGTTTAAGCAAACAGACAAAGGAGAGGCAGTTAATTAGAATATCATTTGAAAAGACCCAAAGTTTCATTAAATTCTTTATTTCTTTTTCTTTTTCTTTTTTTTTTTTTTTTTTTTTTTTTTTTTTTTTTTTTTTTTTTTTTTTTTTTTTTTTTTTTTTGGTAAATAGACAAGAAAGTTTCTTAGAGAATCATGACCAATTACTTCCTAGAAGGAACACTTGGTTCTTGGTCAACAAGTTATTAACTGATAAAGTGATTACTCTATGTAAGTGATTACTTTATGTCTTTTGAATGGAGACAAAATTATTCTTGAATCCAATTTTCAATATATATTCCAAAAATGTTAATCATGTGGTGGTCTGATTAGTCTTCTCACTTATGACTTGCAATTATTTTTACTAATTTAGTTAGCCAAGGAGAGAGGTACTCCTGTTGTAACATGGTCTATATTAGCCATTGTTTATATGGAGGGTTTTTGAGTGTAATAAGGTATGGCAAATGAATATAAATTTGAATTTTCGAATTATAAAATATGTATGTTGAGTTTATAAGCTTATTTATGAATTAAACCAATGAAAAATAAGTTTAAAAGATTTATATTAATTCATGTGAAACTAGGAAAATTTCCCTAGCCTTGTGCTATAGGTTTGAAGTATTTGTAATATTCTTATATTATTTTGTGTTAGTTGAAGATGTCCATTTCATGTTAATTTCAAGTTGAGTTCTATTTTATTGCCTGCCTGTAACTTATAATTTCTTATCCCTTGTTTTTTTCTGAATTGCAAATTAATTCTTTGTATATGTATAATATAACATGTATAGAAAGTTTCAGTTAAACTTTATATATGTAACATGATATTTTGAAAATTTTAATAATGTAGCAATTATGTTAGATTACGCGCTTCCGTACACCATTCTTTAAAAACTTGTTATTTGGGACATAAGTAACTAATTAGGTGGTGCCCACACGCTAAGCATCAGCATCCACTCCTTATTGTTGAACTATAGACATAAATATTATATCTTTCTGACAAAAAAACAAAAAAAAAAAAAAAAGAAGAAAAAAAAAAAAAAAGAAGAAAAAAAAAAAAAAAAAAAAAAAAAAAGAAGAAAAGAATACATCTACATGTCATTCTCTTTAAATGTTCAATTGTTTCAAAAGAATGTGTAACCCATATTTATTTTACAACCCACCAGTCAAAGTCCATATTAGAGTAACCAACTAACCATGCGCTGCCATATGCAGCGTGGTAGAATTTTCCTATCCGGCCCAATAATTGCAAAACTTGTAAATACCCAGTGAGGCTTGCGGCCCATCGTAATGGGCCCCATTCCAAATATCTTAGTCAATGTTCTTTCTTTCAAGGAATGTAATAAAATATTTTATAAATTTTTATTTAAAATTACTTGATAAATAGTTATTTAGGCATAACTTAAAAATTAAATCAAATTAAAATTCATTTACATTAATAAATGGAAATTTTTAACTTGAACTCTTTACTGAAAACAATACTTCTATCATTTAATGCTTAAAATTTAGCTCTTAATTTTTCAATATTTAAAATTTTAATTGTGTTCATATCATAATATTATTTGTAACATATTTTCATGTTTTAGGTTTGTGTTATGTTATTTGTAATTAATTATATCATTTTCTTGTATTCTATTTTTATTTCCCTTGGGTGGTATGTATATACAAATAATATTGATCGATTTGTCCTTATTGATATTATACTAGATTAAGGAGATTTGAGAGTATATGAAAAATGAATTCTGTATTAAAATATATTAAAAATAAAAAATTTAGAAATAAATAAATATTATGTATACCAAAAACTCTCATTCACAATTCCAATTTTGTAATTATTTGGAACTCTTCAAAGAGTTACAAAAGAACATATTCAAAAGGAAATAATAATAATAAACTACGATATGCGCAGACAACTAAATCGAACAAGAACAAAATTAAAGATGGAAGAGCAAATTCAAATGCTAGCTGCGTCTCTCCATGCTAGCTTTCAAGTTTACGACCAAATTGCGAACTCCAAGACTCCCAGACCAAATTAAATATGGAAGAGAATATGAGCAATAGTAGCAATAAGAGCAGTAAACCCAGTAATTGGCTCTCCAAAAATGGCAGAAAGAATAAGTTTCAGAACTACTATTGCCATTTTCCATCCATTTCTTGAGCTTTTTCTCTTCTGCTCTACTATTTCTGTACTAGTACTGCTAGAACCTGTGTTTTGCAGTGCCAAATCATTTGCTTTACTTACTTCATCACTTTCTTTGTTATCACCATTAAAATAGCTATTTTGCCAATTCTCATAAACCATTTCCTTCAGACAAGCTACGTGAAAGCAATAGGTCTCACAGCTAGAGACATAACACAAGCCCTTAGGACCTTTTCCTGAATTGATCCTGAAATGACATTTTTGGCATTTTAGTGAACTCTTTTTCTTGAGTTGTAATTTCACACCTTCGCCATCTAGGGTTTCTGGAAGCTTAGCGCAGTGAGGGTGCATGTCATATTTTTTACAAGAACATTGATACACGAACCCTTTTATATCCAATCCACAAACATCACAATCTCTTCCTTTATCGGGTGTTATTTGAGATTTGTCGTAAAACTCAAAACGACAATCGTCGAAAAACTGGAGGTAAGTAGGAGATGTTGGAATTGCACATTCTCTATGGATTGAAAAATGGTTGCATGTTTCACATTGGTAGCATATGTCAAAACCAAGCTCTTTGCACCCATCGCAGCGATAAGGTGCTGGAGGAGGTTTTAGTTTAAGTGGATGTTGGTGGCCAGGATATTGTATTTCAAGAACAGACGACATGTCGCTTTAATTCCTGCAAGCAAATGAAAAAGGAAATAAATAAACCTTGATGTTTTAAAATGGAAGAAAAGCTATATATATTAACGACTAACGAGTAATGTAAAGGCTTTGAGAAGGTTTTGAAACATGAGAGATAGGGCTGAATTGGTAACATAAATGACCTTATTTATAGACTTTGTTTAAGCAAACAGACAAAAGAGAGGCAGTTAATGAGCATATCATTTGAAAAGGCCCGAAAGTTTCTTGATTTCTTTATTTCATTTTCTTTTTCCTTTTTTTTTTTTTTTTTTTTTTTCTTTTCCTTTTTTTTTTTTTTTTTTTTGGTAAATAGACAGAAAGTTTCTTAGAGATTCATGGCAATTAAACTTACTAGAAGGAACATCTTTTTTTTTTTTTTTTTTTTTTGGTAAATAGACAGAAAGTTTCTTAGAGATTCATGGTCAATTACTTACTAGAAGGAACATCTGGTTCTTGGTCAAGTAGTTATTAACTTATAAAGTGATTACTTTGTCTTTTGGACGGAGATTGAATTGATCTTGAATCCAATTTTCAATATATATCCCAAAAATATCAATTAGATAGTGGTCTGATGGGTCTTCTCATTTATGTGAAGGATGAAATATCGAAAGAACTCACAATTATTTTTACCAATTTAGTGAGCTAAGGAGAAAGGTATCTCCTGTTGTAACATGGCCTATATTAGCCATTGTTTATATGGAGGATTTTTTAGTGTAATAAGGTATGATAAAGGAATATAAATTTGAATTTTTCAAATTATAAGGTATGTACTTTGAGTTTACGAGCTTATTCATGAATTAATTGAATGAAAAATAAGTTTAAAAGATTTATATTAATTCATGTGAAACTAGGAAAATTTGCTAGCGTGTTTCCCTAGCCGTGTGCTATAGGTTTGAAGTATTTATAATATTCTTATATTATTTTGTGTTAGTTGAAAGATGTCCATTTCATGTTGATTTCAAGTCGAGTTATAATTTCTTATCCCTTTTTTGTCTGAATTGCAAATTAATTCCTTTGTATATGTAAAATATAATATGCATAGGAAGTTTCAATTAAACTTTGTATATGTAATATATGATATTTTGAAAATTTCAATAATGTAGCAATTATGTTAGGTTACCTGCTTGGGGATACCATTCTTAAAAACTTGTTATTTGGGACAGAATTAACTAATTAAGTGGTGCCCACACGCTAAGCATCAGCTTCCACTCGTTATTATTGAACTATAGACATAAATACTATATCTTCTAACCAAAAAAAAAAAAAGTTTCTTAGTATTCATTAATAAAAAAGTAAAATTAAGATTAAAATTTATACGTAATTAAGAGGAAATGTCTCTATTTTTAGGCTTTAGCCTTCTTTTTTATATAAAAAAAAAAAGGTCGATCATCAATGGTTGATCATGATGATTGATGAGTTACAATGTAAGAATGGTCGGACAGGACAATGCATGAAAAGTTGGAAATTAACCTCCCCTTCCAGTTTAAGTAACATTTTAATTAAATTAAACATCATAGAGTTTATCCAAAATTTCCAGTCTGCTTCTAAATTTGTTCTAACTTACTGTGCATATATAATTGGAAGACAATGTCATAAAAAAAATGACAATTTTATAACTACCCATATGAAAGAGGTCAAACCGGATATTCCTGGATTCGTTTTCCAGTCTTCCTGGCAAAAGAGCTTTCTGGTATGCCATGCTTGCCAATTCCAGGCACTTCGAAAGCTGGAACCTGATAGGAAAAACTAAGCATGTCTGCTCTTGAAACTCCACCAATTAAATCAAATCAAATCAAATCAAATCCATCATTTTTGCAAATGGAAGAAAGCCAAGTAACCTTTCACTTCTCCGAGCCTGGATACTATTATCCCATCACCTATTTGAGAAGTCTGATACACTTTGGATAATTTGGCATTCATAACTTTTATGGTCAACATCTTCCAATTGGTATTCCACCCCTTATACACAGCCCAGACTTCTTCAGGACGGCAATGGTGAAGTCACCTTATATTTTTTTGAATGGCCAAGGTTTTCGCCCCTGCTCCAGGTAAATTTTGTAGCAAGATTTGGTTGTTCTTTCTGTACTTGACTCGGTAGCAGAAAAGACTAAAATGAGATTACCATATTTCTGATCATCATATATCCTA